TGTGTGTGTGTGTGTGTGTGTGTGTGTGTGTGTGTGTGTGTGTGTGTGTGTGTGTGTGTGTATGTGTGTGTATGTGTCTATGTACGAAGCTGAGCAGGCAACCTCATGTTGTCTCTCTTTGGGGGTTCACTTCACAGGGCCATTCCGTCACCGGCGCAGCATTCAAGGAGAAGGTGGGCAGCCAAACAATTCCTTCTTTTGGCTTTGTTTCATGTACATTTTGTGATCTGTTGTGACTTTTCGTTCGCTTTCATGCATGCACACTCACACACATTCACACACGTGTACAGACCGCGACAGTTGGGTGCCGGCCTTCACTCTCCACGCAGCAGCAGCGCGTCGCTGTCGTCGTTGTCACCACCCACCTCCTCCTCTTCGCCACTGTCTCCTCCATCATCATCCTCATCGTGGGCATCGTCGTGGTGGTCGCTGGCATCATCACAAAAGGCCAACACCCCAAACGCAGTCCACCAACACGCGTTGACTCAACAACGCCTTCCTCGCCAGCAGAGCCACCACCACCACCAGCAACAGCAGCAGCAACAGCGAGACACCCGCACACCATCTGTGGCGTCATCACCATCGCCTACTGCGCGCGCACCGCACCTGCTCAGCCGGTTCTCCTCGCCAGCGTCTAAGTACACGCACATGTCCGTGCATGAACTCAAGCAGCAGGCAGCCGCACACATGGACACAAAGGTGGGCGTCTGTTCTGTGTGTGTGTGTGTGTGTGTGTGTGTGTGTGTGTGTGTGTGTGTGTGTGTGTGTGTGTGTGTGTGTGTGTGTGTGTGTGTGTGTGTGTGTGTGTGTGTGTGTGATGTGTGTGTGTGTGGTGTGTGTGTGTGTGTGTGTGTGTGTGTGTGTGTGTGTGTGTGTGTGTGTGTGTGTGTGTGTGTGTGTGTGTGTGTGTGGGTGGGTGGGTGTGGGTGTCTCACATTTTGTGCCTACATCATGTCCCCGCCACTTACCCTGCCATTCACCATCTCAACCATGCACCCAACCCCGTGCACCATCTCCACCCTCCACCCTCCACCCTCCACGAGCAGGAGCGGTATCTTGCGGCAGAGGCGCTGTACAACCTGGCGGGCAACCAGCAGAAGCAGGGCCGCACAAAGGAGAGCATGCGCACATACCGCACATGTCTCCGCCTCAACCCGCACCACGCGCCCGCGCACTTTGCCCTTGCAGTCGTTCACGAGACGCGGGGCAGCGTGGCCAAGGCGGTCAAGCACTATATCAGCGCCATGGAAATTGTGCCGTCGCACGCGGCTGCCATCTCCGCGCTCGCCAGGCTCTTGCTTGCAAGCAACACGGGGGTGCGTTGCATGTGTGTGTGTGTGTGCATGTGTGTGTGTGTAACTGTGTGTGTGTGTGTGTGTGTGTGTGTGTGTGTGTGTGTGTGTGTGTGTGCGCGCGCGTAATTCTGTGTGTGTGCATGTGTGCACGTGTACATATGTTTATCACGTTTTGTGTGCGGGTGTTTGCGGCTACTGTCAGACCACCCCCTTTCCACCTCCACCTCCACCTCCACCTCCACCTCCACCTCCAACCTCACGTTGCCACCCCTCCCCACCTTTCTCAGGATGTGCGGCCTGCGCTGGCCCTGCTGGAGCGGCTGCATGCCCTCGATGCGTGCGAGCACGAAGACCACGTGCGGCTGGCGCATCTCCACCGCACCGTCACGCGCAAGCTGGATGCCGCCGCCTACCACTACCAGGCAGCGCTCGCCATGGTGCCCCACGATGTTGGTGCTGCTGTTGCCCTGGCGCACCTGTACGAGGAGGACATGTGCGACCTTGGCGCTGCGCACAGGCAGTGGCTCGCGGTCGCAGCCATGCTTGACGGTGGTGATGATGATGGGGATGATGGTGATGAGGTTTGTGGAGACGAGGAGGACGTTTGTGAGGAGCGGCGTGGGCGAGATGATGATGATGACAAGGATGATGACGATGACTGTGATGATGGACGTGGGGCTGGCTCGCTCGAACATCGAGGACTGCGGCAGGTGAGCACCTTGACAGCGATGATGTTCAGTGGTGGTATTCGGGGTGAAGAAGAGGTGCGGCTTGACTTTGCTCATGTACAAGTGCACACACTGATACGCACACACACGCACACACACACCAGGTGGCTGCTGCTGCTGTGCTGCGAATTGAGCAGAGGCTGCAGTCTGCGCACGCGTCAACGGAACTGCCGCAAATGATCTAGACGAGAGGAGGAAGAGAAGTCGAGAGTTGAAGAGGGGTGTGAGGATTGTTGGGCAGGAAGCGACTGCTTTGTGGGAGAGATGTGACAAGACGCGCTCTTCGTCACCAGAACCACAGAACAAATGCGTTAAGGAATGATTCAACCATTGCTCGCCTTTCAGCGTGCACGTGCGTGCAAACCAAACACAGCATCATGCCCCCTTCCTCATTTCCTCCTGGTCCCCTTCCTTCGTCTTCACCTTCGTCTTCGTGCTTTGTTGCATTAGCCGATGTTGCGTGTGTACTCTCCACGC